ATGATTTAAAAGTACCACCGATTTGAAGAAATTGAAGTCGTAATATCGCAAAAAATAACTTCACTACATTGCTTCAAATTCATGAGGCTCTACTGAAACTAAAACTGTAGGCAATGCAAACGGAAATTAGCAAATAAATCAAAGAGCTACAAATCCGCAAAAGTTAATAAACTTGGTGCAACTTCTCAACACGAGAAATCCAAAGCAGAACCATCAAATCCAAAGTCGACATTAGCAGATCGCTCAACAATTGATGAGATTAGCCAAATGTGAAAAGCATAGGACTCTTACTATCCGGCCTCATTTAATACAGATACCAATATGTCCTATCCTCTTCTAAAAGTGAACGCAGATAAAAAGCTGATGAGAATCCCCGTGGGCCTGAGTGATGTTCAAAGGAGCGTACTCTCCATAAAACCGTCGTTTCAACCAGGACCCGATGGTATTCCTCCAGCTGTCATCAATTATGAAGGCAAAAGCACTCCTCTGCTGATGTTAAGCGTCTTCAAATTATCCTTAAACCGTGGATATTTCCCTCCACAGTGGTAACTCTTGATAATAACATCGACACACAAAGGTGGCTCCTGAGTTGCGATAATAAATTACCGCCCTATTAATTATACTGTGGCAGCCTCAAAAACACTATAGCGATTTGTCAAAAATAATATTGTTCAATTCTTAACAACAATAGATTAGATAAACAACGCAAAACACAGCTTTCTCCAGAAACAATCCTGTATAAGCTGTCAAATACAATTCTTCGAATGCGTAACATCGGTTGCTGACAGTGGAATGGCAGTTGTCATTCTACTGGACATGCACAATGCCTTCGATGGTGTGCAATATAAACATTGACTGTTCATCCTGTACTCTTACGCAGTCAGAAACCCATTGCTGAGTTGGTTTGCATCCCACCTAGAAGATCGGACCAAGAGCGTTAACAGAGGCCAGCAACTCTACTCCTCGAGAGGTTACAATCGGAGTTGTCCAAGGCAGTGTCCTTGGACATCTACTCTTCATAATGTATATAAATAACATCTATGATTCCATCAAACTTGGACGATCACACCTCTTTACGCACGATATTTAACTCGTATACTCATTTCCACCCGATAACCTTGAGTGGGGCATTAATCACATACATGTGAACTTATTTGCTCTGGACTCCAGAAGTAAAAACTACTCCATGGAATTCTACGCTGATAAATCGCAATTGCTTGGGTATGGACGCTGCATACCGGATGGATCCATCACCATAGCAGGTACAAACATCCCAAACTCCTGTTTAGTTAGGGACCTTGGAGTAATATATTCTGCATCGCTAAACTTTTCCGAATATGTCTCATATCCTATAACAAAGGCCAGGCAATTTAAAGCTTATATCACTAAATCATTTGATCCACTTGAAGCGAGACTGAAAATGTTTTAGAAATTCATGAGACCCATGCTGGGGTACGGCACAATTATCCATAGGCACCTGATTGGAACGGATCGAATAGCATTACAAACGCTAGAATGCATCCAACGGTCTTTTACTAAGCGCGTATTGGGAAGAAAGTCACTCCTAAACTCTCGGGAGCGATGCCAACAACTTCAACTCCATCCACTTTGGCTGCGAATACTAAAACATAACATTGGACTGCTGCACAATCTGATTTATGACAATACCCATTGCAGTCGATCCATCCTTAATATTGCAGCCCAATTACACGCGAGACCTAGGTAACAAACAACCTTAACCTGATTATACCACGAGGCAAGAGAAATTTGTGGTCTAACTTTCGTCTCACCATATATGCTTCGCTGTGGAATCGGTTGCCATTTACCATCAGGTCGTGTGAGGCTGTGCAATCCTTTCGCAGTAACTTAGGAAGCTACCTATACCTGGACACAATTATGTCACTTTTTTCTTGCGGAAGTTCATTTGTACAGCCATTCCATGGAAGTCCAGGTAATGTCTAGTGGGTGCAATATCATCAATTCATCCAATGTAATTAGTCATCAGTGTCTACAATATACTTAAAGTGCAAAGTTGCCTCCTACCATCGGATAAGATAAACATATGGGGCAAATACCTTTGCTAACAATACAGATAAATGTAAAAAGATAAGGTGAATTTGCTCTTGCAAGAGCAGGACATCACTTCTATGTGTATGTTTTGTGCCAAACATTGCCACAGCTTTTCACTTGAAGAGAAAAATGCCTATTATTATTATTAATAGTATTATTACGAGGATAATTATTATCTTCCCGCGGTATATTGATTCGGCCAGAGGTGATACTAAACTGGAGCCCAAATGTGCCACTGATGCTGTGCACCTTGAACCGAGCATATGTTGTGCGCTGGATCCTTTTCAGTTGCTAGAAGAGCGTTGGAAATTCGGCACAGAGACGTCAGCTACCAGTCGCGTCAGAATACGAACCAATGGTAACTCCTTCCGACAGAACCTCTGTTAAAGGGCTGCTGAGGGAGAGTGTTCAAATACCTCATCCTAGGTTGACCAACTACAGTCAAGCGTACTGTTGGTGACCTCTAGCACTGACACTCATCCCTGTCTGCCTTCCGGTAACACTAATGTGTCAACCTACTCGGGAGCTAATCTGTCCCCCATAAACGCATACATCTAGCCCTAGGCATACATCCAGGGAGTCTCATTGGCTAATGTCCCGTGACCAATTACAGTTGCATTGATATTGCGCATATGGAACCCCTCAGGGAGAGAATGAATTGATGCCCGCGTGAACATGAAAGAACCACACGTTATTTTGATACTTTAACATGCCAACTTATTAGCAAAATGCTTGAAGTTGCCTGTAAAAAGGCATAGTGTTCTGGTATGAGCTGCCTGTTTTCTACTCTTCAGCTAAGTACCCGCCTTGAGGTGTGTCAGGCTTAGCGAGGATCAGGGACTACAAGGGACACGAATGAACTGACATCGCCTGCTTGGTTGAACATGGAGTTATCGACTGGACTGGGGTGACGCCTTGGGATTGCACTTAGTGTTAACTGTGCCGAGCGGTCGCAAAAACTGTCCTCCTGCGTTAATCGCCTCCAAATCTTTGGATTTATTCCCACAGAGACCTATGTGCCATCATTCGATTTGGCTCCGCGAGCTCCTCCTACCACTGTTCATCTATTGGATCTATCATTCACGGATCACCAGCAAACTGTGCTCTTGCAACTTCGAAGTCAACCGTATTTGAACCCTATCGGAGGTATTATTTTTCCTCTCGTCACATAAGAACTCTTGTGGTCCTACGTTAAAGAGCTTTTTGAGAGTCACCCGATCAGCTTACTACTATTCCTTCAAGTCGCTCTACAAAACGATAGTCGTCAATTTGATCCGCCCTTGGAACTGTCACTGCCGTCATTAGACAGTAATTTCCAAGTCACGTTGCTTTGCCTCAGTCCTACGTCGCATCGTTGCCTACCCTCTACCTGGTGGATCGATAGCCCACACGTCGCTTATCTACCATATAGAACGTGTGACTCATCTGGCCGCAACACGCCTGGACCTGCTGAATTCAAACCAGCGCCGATCGAAACGCAGCGGTGCGTCAGTATCTCTATCATCTTTCTACCCCTTAAAACAGCACCCCTACTGAGAACATGACTCGTATGAAGAGCAAATGCGAAGCGTGTGTTAAAGTAGTAAAAATGGTCTGGTATGTACCATGTGTTTGAAATCCTATCACACTACATGCCTTGGGAAGGGGTCGACGAAAGCAAACACCGCAGAGGCGTTTTGGTTCTGCCAAGTATGCAAGTCTAATCCATTTGTTAGCTATCTATCTGTGCTACTGAAGAGGTGTGAAAGATTAACCGAAGCGGTCGAGCAACTGGTGAGCGCCCGAGTTACACCCATGCGAGGAAACGAAGCTGCACTTGGGAGTGAAAATAACACCCCGAATTCCCTAGTCAGGCCGAAGAAGCGAGCCAGGCGTCCCAACCTAACCCAAACGACTCAGCCTCCAGCAGTATCAACTCTATTCTTTCTCCCTTCTATAAGTAAAAACATTGGCTGCAGCGCGCCTGCCTCAACTTCTGTACTGTGTGCTGCACCTAGTAGTCTGTTCGCTACACTCGAGACAATAAGCTACAGTCAACCAGCAACAGTGAACAACCCGGAAACGTACGCATCGGTTGCCGCCAGGCAAACACCGGAAAGAACACCGGTAACCTTTGTGCCCGGATTAGAGAAAACAAAACTACCGCAGCATGGATGGCGCACACCAGTGCCGTTCACAAATTCAACAAAAACACCGGATACTCAGCCTCCAAATCCAAAACCAGTAGCCACCAGACGCAATCATGGTGACCTAAACATTGTATGCACGAATGTCTCCCAATCCAAATCCAATGCAATTAAGGGTAAGTTGACGCACGATCGAAATCAGTGGGGTTCCATCTGTACGTCGATCGGTGTCCATGCTAATACTACGAAATTAAGAAGAATCTCGTGCCACCCAAATGCGTTGCACTACGGCGAAACCCCGGTTACTTCGGGTAACACTAAACTCGACGGAGGAGACTGAGGCCGTTCTGCTGTCTGTGAATCATCTCCGCAACGACTCAATTGGAGTGCGCATACTACCTGAAGTCCCGTGGAAAGAACATTCAGGAGATCCCGCTAACAAAGCTAGGTACAGAAAACTCAAGATGAGAAAACAGTGATTACTCTCGGTGTTCCTGATCTTACAGATTCCTCTTCCGACGATGCTCAGATGCACGACCGCGATCAATGGCACTACATCTGGGAGGCTCTTACTCTCAAAAATGTGGTGGTCGCCTCGTTGACAAGGATCTCCATATCACCAAACTATAAAGGGTGCAATCCCAGGCTGTTAAACCAAAAAAAAAAAAAATCGTGCTTAACAGTCCGAGCACTACAATTCCCACACTACACTCCCAACACACCAACCAAACCTAATCCCCTAAATACCCCTCCAAACTATCACACACACACTCCACATAAAACACAAACCACAAAAAAAAACTATCAACCCCAACCCCACCAAAACCAAACACCCCACACCACCAAACCCCCCACACCAACCCAACCCAACACCCCCCCCCCCCCCCCCCCCCCACCCCACCCCCCCCCCCCCCCCCCCAACACCCCCCCCCCCCCCCCCCCCACCCCCCCCCCCCCCCCCCCCCCCCCCCCCCCCCCCCCCCCCCCCCCCCCACCCCCCCCCCCCCCCCCCCCCCCCCCCCCCCCCCCCCCCCCCCCCCCCCCCCCCCCCCCCCCCCCCCCCCCCCCCCCCCCCACCCCCCCCCCCCCCCCCCACCCCCCCCCCCCCCCCCCCCCCCCCCCCCCCCCCCCCCCCCCCCCCCCCCCCCCCCCCCCCACCCCCCCCCCCCCCCCCCCCCCCCCCCCCCCCCCCCCCCCCCCCCCCCCCCCCCCCCCCCCCACCCCCCCCCCCCCCCCCCCCCCCCCCCCCCCCCCCCCCCCCCCCCCCCCCCCCCCCCCCCCCCCCCCCCCCCCCCCCCCCCCCCCCCCCCCCCCCCCCCCCCCCCCCCCCCCCCCCCCCCCCCCCCCCCCCCCCCCCCCCCCCCCCCCCCCCACTGCGTGGGGTAGCCCTTTATTTTCGTAACAACATGCAATGCGAACGCATAAACGTTTCGGTTACTGACGTACCTGAATCCATTTGGTGCAATTTCTGGCTAAGAGGGAACGATCTTGGTCTACTGGTTGTTGTTGTTTACCGACCACCATCGTCTGCTCCTGAGATGGACTGCAATTTGATGGCTGTGTTGAAGTAAGTGATAAACAGGAAGTACAATCGCATTCTAGTCACCGGTGACTTCAACTTACATGCCCTCGATTCCCAGACCACATCAGTAGAGCAATTCAAAGCACAGTTGCAAAATCTGGTTTCAGAATACCTCTTTATTGCCACGTCACTATACCTACCATGTTCAGGGGAACTGACAGGCCATTCATGTCGGAGCGAATATTCTCCAATGAAGAACTGATGGTCGAGAGAGTAATAACCGCTACTGGTATGGGCAGCAGTGATCATGCGTCGCTCATGTTTCATTACATGTGCTATGCGGATTATCCTCAGGAGCATGCCGAGGAATATCGTGTCGTAAACAACTATGAAGACCTGTCCGACCTCATTGATGCAACCAGCTGGTCGTTCTTAGCTGAATTAACCCCCGAAATGGCCTGCGATAAATTCGTCAACATATTTACCAAGCTCGTGGCAAGGACATCTGAAACCAAACGCTACCGGCCTAAAAGGATGAAGTCTTTCGTAAGGAGCAGGACACGTAAGTGCATGGCATGAAGGGACTTGGTATGGCACACCTACATAGCCTCCCCGAACGAAGACACCTAGGATGTCTACACAATAAAAAGGAACCACTGTGTCAAACTCGTCCGGGAAGATAAACTGAAGAACCAGCAAGGTCTAGTGGAAAAGTGTTGCTTCAATCCCAACTTGCTATACGGACACGTAAACAATTTGCGTCGTGTTAAGCGCGGTATTCCTGCATTGCACACAGCATGCGGGTTAGCCCAAATCGCACAAGAGACGCTCAGCGTAGTTGGACAACCAGTTGGCCGTACCTTCCAAAGTGTGCAAACATCACACATCCTGCCTAAGTAGATAACGCCGCCATCAGGACTTAACCACATTTCGTTCACCTCCGCAGCTGTATTGAAGAGGCTGATATCTCTGCGCGAATTCAGCTCCCCGGGTGCGCACGGCATTCGTCCGAAGGCATTGAAAGTTGCTGCCATGCATTTGGCAGGACCATTAGCAATTTTCTTTCAATGGTGTCTGAATGAGGTGCATGTCCCCACGATGTAAAAGCACGGAATCATCACGCCTATCTACAAATGTGGTAGCCGTGCTGAACCAACAAATTATCGCCCAACAACACTACTTCCTGTGATCTCCAAGGTTGTGGAGTCCATTGTAGCAGAGGCTTTAATGGGGTACCTGGAGAACAACAAAATTCTCCTTCCGGAACAACATGGATTTCGCAAAATCGGTCCTGTACCACTAATCTCTGGATTTTTCTCGTGCAAATTGGACGGAAGCAGTCGACGCTGGTCTAGGAATCGACGCAGCCTACTTGGATTTCTCAAAGGCATTCGACAGCATAGACCATCGCATTCTCCTCCACAAACTTCAGAAATATGGAATCGGCGATCCTGTTCTGGGCTGGATGGGTGACTTTCTCCTTCAACGTCACCTGAATGTGAGGGTTCGAAGCAACCTATTAGAATCCATCGACGTTCATTGCGGCGTACCTCAGGGCTCGGTACTTGGAACCCGCCTGTTCCTGGTTTTCATAAATGATCTCGCGAGTGTGCTATCTTCTAACTGTTTACTATTTGCTGGTGACCTAAAGGTATGGCGCACTATGGCTGCAGTGGAGGATCACCCAGTATTACAGGAGGACCTGGACAAAGCGTACACATGGTCCATCGAGGACATGCTGCATTTCAACGTCACCAAGTACAAAGTTCTCAGTATACCGCACAAGAGTATACACAAGTACCGCCTAGGACCACAAATTCTACAGCGGGCTACTCACGAGTGCGATCTCGGCGTGATAGTTCAAGATGACCTGGGTTGTTCGAAGCAGACTGAAAAGACAGCTAAGAAGGCGAACTAGTATCTCGGCCTTCTTCGCACAGCCTTCGGGAAGTTTGACCATTCGATCTTTCCAAAAATGCTTAGTGAGTACGTGAGGCCACACGCGGAATACGCTATTCAAGCGTGGCAACCCTGGCTCAAGCACCATCTCACCGCGCTCGATACTGCACAACGTAGGGCAACGAAGTCCGTCAGAGGTTTGACCAGCCTCCCCTACCCACTCAGGCTGAAGACCCTCAAAATATACAGTGGATGTTATCGGCGTCTAAGGGGCGATCTCCTAATGGTGTACCAGATCCTGCGAAACCCCAACCACACATGCCATTCCCTTCTAATACTCAGTCAAAACACCTCGCTAAGAGGTAACCAGTTTAAGTTAGTCACGCAGTACAATCGCCTGGAATGTCGGCGAAACTATTTCTCTCTTCGAGTGGCACAGCCTTGGAACGCCGTCCCGGAACATGCAGTTAATGCACCCACCCTATCCCATTTCAAAAAACGCCTTGACGATACTTTCTCACGTTTACACTACATGGTATATCCCATGACCACCAGATGCTAGCACTAATGCACAACAGACAGGGGATAGTGCCATAACCCTACTCAACAATGAGTCACTCCAAACGCTTTACACGAAATTTGATAAACGCTACTACTATAGAAACTAGATTTCAGTATCCTGTCGACCCAAGATAGTTGCACACGAGTAAACGTTGCCCTTGCTACCCTTTTATTTTTCTCGCCTATGATGTGAACAATAACCACTCTCCTGTTGCTTTGTGTGCGTACATTCTCATTTCATACTCTCTTTATGCCACAGTGCAGTTACATCTGTAAGCGCCAGAACTGACGACTCCATTATCCCTTCACTATCTTTTTTGGTCACGGTAAACATCCTACGGGACATGTCAAGCACCTGCTTTTTTACCCGTTATAAAGCATTGTTCATTGTTCATGTGGCACGAAGCAAGAAGACAAGTGACCATTGAAATAATGTGGGAGAGGGCCAAAAATCGGATGGTTGAAAACACAAGAGATAAAGTTGAATTTAGAGAGGTACGATACGAATGGACAAGTGTGAGATGGCATCGAGAAAACAGGAAGGCTTGCTAGGTGACATAAAATCCTTTATAGAAACTGCTCGATGCAGCAGATATGACGCTGCTGATTGTCCTCTGTGACGGCCAAAGCGTCGAGGAATGGTTTCAGTGGAAATCCATTGCGTTGTATCGCATGGACAGAATCTTGTCAGGTTGCCCAGGCCTAGCTAGGAGAACGATTAGCGTTCTCATCCAAAGTCTTGGTTTAAAAACTTAACCACAAGGCTGCGGGGTTTCGACACTGAGCTACAGAGGACCTTTTTAATGTATGGAGCCACCCTTACTCCAACCCCTAACCTGGAAGGTCAGGTGCCTGAGTTCGTCTGGGATCTAACTGGTGACCAATCTGATATGAGTAACTAAATGTGCAAAAAGCACCAAGCATCATGGCTCAATGGATCGCTGAGGCACGCAAACCGTGGCACTACGGTAAGGTCCAGTCTCGTCAAGGTTTCTTGAATAACTGGAATATTATCTTTTGTAAAAGCTTGACAGGCAAGGTACTACGCATTTACCATAGGTGCTTGTGCGCACGTATATACTTTTGTAGCTCTGTCTGGTGAAGGAAGTTGATACGCATGTGGACATCGCTTCGTGGGAGGGGGGAGGTTAACATCAGTGAGAATTTTAGATGCGAGTTTTGTTACATGAGTAGATATAGATAAATACAATGAGGTTAACAAGGTCTAGCCATGAAATGCCCCTACACCAGGATTGATGCTTCATGTATCTTGCAATTAGTTTGAGGACGTTACTCAGGAGACCAGGAAAGAGCACGTGCGAGCAACAGGTCCAATAGGGTAACACGCATGCAGTGGTAAAACTCTGGAACAAACACGGGGTACGGGGAATAAGACATGAGACGTGTAAAATGAAATGAGAGTCTTCCCACCTTAAAGAATGTTTCGTTCATGTGTACGAACCACGTATGTCCACTGCTCATGGTCACTTCCAGCTGTTTTACAGAGGTGGAAGAGGTCAAACATTCACCGTCAGTGCAAAGGTACGGACATTATATTAGGATCCGCTGTTGCGACTTTTTTGAACAGCGAAAAAGGACTTCCTTGCATGTTGAAGTGTTTAACGGAAGGCAACGGGGTTTGAAACAAGCTTTGAAGTTGTCCAGGAGGGTATGTAGTTTGACTCTTGACTCTATGCTTGTATGACGGTTTTGTGGGATCACCTCGACCGCATACTTTAGCAAGATGGCTTTTTCAGTGATTGGGATCGAGGTAACGTAAGTGGAAAATATGAATGGGGACAAAATAGATTCCTGAAGAAAATTCAGAGTTCGTAGTGATTAAAGAAGGGATTTCCCTACTAACTTGGTATACTAGGTATCTCTGATGAAATGATCTTTCAACCCAAGAACAACAGACGTACGAACTCCAAAAGCCAATAGGTCGTACAACGGTTGCTCACGATTTACATCCGAAAAATTTGCTAAAACCCAGTAAGCAGATGCGGAGGGATTTATTTTTAATATCCAATGACCGAAGCACAGTATGTACCAGACATGCTACGGCATCTAAGTTGGACTCTATAGTCCGACATACAAACTGGTGCAGGCCATCCAACTGGGTCTGGGCTGAGAACCATTTTTTTGAGAATCCACCTAACAAATCATCAGAGTAACCGATGCTCAAGCGATCAGTCGTATTTGCAGGTTCCTTTCTTTGGCACTGGTAAGAAAGTGGTGCTTCGCCAGATATAAAGGATAAAATTCCAAAAGAATTAACGCCGTTCTTCAAGTTTCGGGACGAGCTAATGAGGTACGACTATTTGCTGTTTAAAGTAAATCGCCCTTTGATTCCACCGCCGCTTCTCAACTATGTGCTAGAACACGCTCATCGAACCCATTTGGATGTCAAATACAGTATTAGTAGAGCACGCAAACTGATGTTCTGGCCTGGGATGACAATCCAAATTCGAGAC